AGAAGGTATACTTATTGTGTCAAGTACAGCCCAGAAAGTACTGCACGGCCTTCTCCCCGAAATGTGTTGCAATCAACTCTGTGAGTGTACTCTTACGTTAAAGGAATTATACATGGAATATGCTCGGGGGAGGGGGGAGAATCCTAACTGCTCTCGTTTACCTCATCAGTTCTTCAAGAGTTCATATGGATTCTTCTGTTTAGTATTATTTCACATTCCAGATGACACTACTACTGCTCTACTGAAGGACATCTGTGTAATAATTAATTACCTATTTTTATCATGTTACTTACATTAAATTCTTTGCATTTTAATCTAATGAAGACATACGCAGAAAGTATTTATTGTATCCATTTTCTTCCTACTCATACCTGGCCTTTTCAGTAATTGAATATGTAACAAAGCTAACTTTTGAAATCTCCAGTGTTATATAATTTCAGACCTAAAAGCTTTTTTTCTGGCACAAGCATCAATATGAAAATTTAATTTGCTTTCATGAATTACAGGTTACCCGTTATGAAATAATATTAGCCCTTCCAAGAAGGCACATAAAGATACTCTGAAATCAGCAGCAATTCAGAAGTTACAGTTACAACAGTCACTAAGAAATGTGAAGGCAGCATATCCTGAAGTCATACCCATTAAATATTTTCCGTCATTTTACCATTTTCTTCTGGTAATGTTCAGCTCCCTACCCTATTTCAGAACTAAATCCAGATTAAACAAACATCACCGTGTAAGTCTAGAGACTGAATGATAGGCCTAAAGCCAAGAAATGATCCATTCAGAGGGCGAAGGTAAGCACTGCAATAAGAAATGTTTTTACTGAACAGCAGGGCTAAGCGAAAACATACAATATACAGCTGTAGTTCTAATACAAGCGAAGAAAGCTCACCAATGAGTATCAGTAGTTATGCTTTGCAAAGAAAACAGGCTTGCTTGTTTGCTAAATTTGACTGTACCGAGTCAAATAATGATCTTACAGGTATTTTCCAACCTTAGTGATTCAGAGTCTGTCTACTAGGAAGGACTGTCAAACTGAAGAAAAAAGGTCAAAATCAGATCTCTCTTTTTTTTTTTTTTTACTTGTCTAATTCTGATCAAAATCTGGTTCACTAGTCTAAGACGTGGTGGTGGGCTAATCTACCAAATCTACTCTACCTCTGCCCTCCTCAGCTGGGCAGGGAGAGAAAATACAACAGAAGGCTTGTGGCTCAAGACAAGGAGAGATCATTCAGCAATTACCGTCACAGACAAAACAGACTCAGCTTGGGGAAATTAACTGCATTTATTACCAAAAAAAATCAGAGTAGGACAATGAAAAATAAAACCCAAATCTTCAAACACCTTCCCCTCCACCCCTCCCTTCTCCCGGGCTTAGCTTCATTCCTGATTTCTCTATCTCCTCCCCTCCAGCAGCACAGGGAGACAGGAAAAGGGGTTGTGGTCAGTCCATCACAAATCATCTCTGCCGCTCCTTCCTCCTCAGGGGGAGGACTCCTCACACTCTGCCCCTGCCCCAGTGTGGGTTCTCTCCCATGGGAGACAGTCCTCCACCAACTTCTCAAGAGAGACCTTCCCACAGGCTGCAGTTCTTCACAAACTGCTCCACGATGCACCCCTTCCACGGGGTGCTGTTCTTCAGGAACAGACCGTTCCAGCATACATCCCACATGGAGACCCCATGGGCTCACAACTCCTGCCAGCAAACCTGCTGTAGTGTGGGCTCCTCTCTCCATGGGGCCACAGCTCCTGCCAGGATGCTGCTCCAGTGTGCACCACCCACGGGGTCACAGATTCCTTCGGGCATCCCCCCGCTCTGGTGTGGGGTCCTCCCCAGGCTACAAGTGGGTGTCTGCTCCCCTGTGACTCTCCATGGCTGTAGGGGCACAGCCCGTCTCACCATGGTCTGCACCACAGGCTGCCACGGCATCTCTGCTCCAGCACCCCTCCTTCTCCACCAACCTGGGTGTCTCTGCAGGGCTGTTCCTCTCACATATTCTCACTCCTCTCTGTGGCTTTTTCCCCTTCTTAAACATGTTACCCCTGAGGCACTACCACCGTGACTGATGGGCTCGGCCTTGGCCACGGGTGAGTCCACCTTGGAGCCGGCTGGCATTGGCTCTATCAGACACTGTGGAGGCTTACAGCAGCTTCTCACAGAAGCCACCCTTGTAGGCCCCCCATGTTACCAAAAGCCTGCCACACAAACACAGTACAGATGTGTAGAAAATCACTCATAACATATAACTCCTCTATTTCTTGTAGTTAGAACACTTGGCTTTCCATGTCTAGCAAATTCAATTGTTTTTGAGATCTGAATAATTAACTATAATCTCAAAATCAAAAGTTACTGTCACTAACAGAACCCATTCATCTCCTTTCACAAGAGGTATTGAAAGGGAACAGAGTTAATGAATTATCTCACTGTTTATAAAACAGCACACACACAACACTGTCATCTTTAAAACAAATCTAAAGACAAACTCAGAGACAAGGATGAGGAAGTGTATCATCCAAAGGACTGAAGAAATACTTGGTAGATTCAACTTTGAAATAATGATGTGATTATTTGACAACTGAAACCTCTCTGGAACTGTAAGTACTGTTCAATTTCTACCATACTGAATATTTGAAATACTTCTCTATCAATCACTGCTTAAAATAATAAAGCATTGACCAACAACAGCATAAGCAATTTGGTAAGGTGAAAAGCTCAGTCTTGTAGTCAACCTTTCTCTAAAATGTAAGTTAAAAAATACTAAATATTTTCTACAGGCACTTCAGAAATTAAACTAATGAATTGCTAGAGAAAGCATTGTATTAATACAGACTTTTCCGTTTTTTCTCTGGAGTGCACTGCAAAGAGGTAGCGTGACAGCAGCAGCCTTTGCTGCTCTGCAAAATGCCCTACATGGGTTATTGCACTATAAAAAAAAATGGTGTGACCTCACATTCCTCAGAACACAGAAGATAATTCATCAATACCAAAAAACTCTTTCCAAGAGTCTTTCCAAGGAATAGTTGGAATTGCCGGGATAGTTTTAAAGGACACCAATGAATTACAGACAGTACTGTACTCTGAGAATTTTTATTTAATATCTGTAAACAGCATAGTTTAAGTACAGACTCACAGATAAAAAACTCCAGTACACCTTGTTTTGGTCTAGGTACTGCCTGCTGTTTCTCAGCTGACATTCACACTCCTTTGAACTCACATATTCCTACTGACTCAAACTGTATCTTTGGATGCATTTGGTCTGACTGGCAAAGGCAGTGGCCTTAGCTCCACTGTTAAGCCAGAACCAAGAGTTTTGCTCTTGAACATGCGGGTGCAGATGCGTAGTAGCATGTACCTGCCACATCTTTCAGTAACTACCTGATTGCTAAAGGAAGGCAATTAATACTAAATAAGCACAGACGGTTCCACAACTGCGGTTGCAAAAAAAAAAAAAAAAAAATTTCAGGCTAAAGCAGCATGGAATCCAACTCCAATTCTCTGGCAGATGAGTCATGTCCTTCTCCTGAATTCCCCTTACCCTCCAGGAGTGCACAGAAAGTCCAAATTTTACTTCATACATAAATGGAAGTGTGTGTATAAAGGACAGAAATATAGGTACACATGTATAAGTTGTGTGTGTATATATGCACTTATACATGTGGGAGTGATAAGTTACAGTTAATTCACTGAGATTTAAGTGTGATGTGTAACAGACAGGAAACACAAAACTTAAAGACTCCCCAGATCACGGAAGAGGAAAGAACATCAGGGTCTCTCAGTGCTCTACTCAGTGTGAACGTGAACGAGAGAAGTATGTAACTTTGCAAGTCAGATAAGATGCATCAAAGGTACAGTTCTTAAAGTCAGTAAGTATGAATATACAAATTGAAAAGGGTATAAATGTCAGCTGAGGAAGAGCACACACTACTTGGACCAAAACAAGGTAGAATGGAGTCTTTATATATGCCTACAAACATGCACTACATTTTTTACATATACTAAGTAAACAGATACTAGAGAACAGTACTGTCTGTAATTCATCAATATCCTTTTGAACTATGCTGGGAGATTTGTCATGGAGTCTCTGCAGTTGTTAAGGGTAAATTAACGTTGACTAAATTAGCACCAACTTATCTTTGTGCTCCAGTCTCATCTAGGTTGTCAAAAAGTGTTTAAAGAACTTAAACAAGATTGACAAGTTGTACCTGCTATTTCTGTAAGTATAGCTGTATGATCATTTTCTGACAGCTTCACAAATCCAACTTCATTTCTGAAGTGATCAATTCCTTTAAAAGACAAATCCACATTTTTTCCTTTCAGGAGATCTTCTACAAAATCCTTGCTGTCTGAAAGAGCACCAACTGCTCTGTCAAGAGGAAAGAAAATATCTATGTTGAAGTAAAATATATTAATACTGTTTACATTACTATTAATCATTCTATCCAAAAATCTCATAAGGCTTTATTAGTATAAATTTATTATCTACTCAGGTACTTTGGGGATACTTCCTATCCATGCAGTCAGTATTATTATTATTATTATTTTATAAACATAAATTGGTTCATACACCCTGCTGTAAAACCACAAAAACAATAAGGCAGACCTAGCAGCAGGTGTAATTCCTCAGAAGAGTTTATCTCAGTCCTCAAGGTGACTAGATATTAACATGACAGTGTCTCTATTAAACTGTGCATCCCATTTAAATATGATGCTTAATCTGAAGTATACGGTTTTCCATTATTAATTCACTTTTTGCATCTCCAGACAGCTCAACTGAACACTCTAAGATTCTGCTTCATTCAAAGTTACTACCGTGTTACTTATCATAGAATCACAGAATGGTTTGGGTTGGAAGGGACCTTAAAGATCATCCATTTCCTTCCAACCCCCCTGCCATGGGCAGGGACACCTTCCACTAGACCAGGTTGCTCAAAGCCTCATCCAGCCTGGCCTTGAACACTTCCAGGGATGGGGCATCCACAGCTTCTCTGGGCAACCTGTTCCAGTGCCTCACCACACCCCCTGTGAAGAATTTTTTTCCTGATAGCCAATCTAAATCTCCCCACTTTCAATTTAAGCCCATTACCCCTTATCCTGTCTATAAACAGAGGTTGGTGATATTATATATGTAAAATGATAAAATTATATGGAAATTACTCCTAAGCTCACTGAGAACTGTTATTTAAAGAAATACTCTCTAATCTAATGCTCACTTTCTTTAAGAGGTAAGTAGCATGCACACATAATCTACGTGCCATTTAAGGAACAGAAGCAAACCCGTTAACCTTTTAATAATCATTTTCATTAGCCATATTAAGTGCATTTATGATTACATGAAATATTTGTTTGACTTGCACTTGAAGTGATTCACATCCTAAACATAAACTACATAGACTTTCTTATTGTCTTCTAAAGATCTCTCATATGCTCAGTTTTTATTTCTATTCAACAAAACGGCATTTAAGCTTTTCACTAAACCCACGTTGACTTCACAAACACCAGGTGGCAGCGACAGGTTAAAAACTCAAGACAGTTTAGCTCGTCTGTCCAGCTGTATGAAAGCCATCACCACGATTTCTGAAGTAGGCTAAATTATGTTCTTAAAGCCTGTACAATTACGAAGGACTCTACACATGGTTCCACCATGTTTAGCAAGATGGACTCTTGATGAGAACTATGTATTTAACTGAAACCTAGGCCACGTTAAGAAATACATAAGGTTGATTACATGACCAAAAAAAAAAATCCTTGATTGATATAGTTTCCCTGTGTTTTTCATAGGGAAAAACAACAATGCCGTTACTTGTTCCTTGGTAAGGATATTTTTCTTTAAGCATAGTCTCTGCCACCTACGTACCCTTTTATCACCACTAGACAAGCCTGTTACTCTGTCTTCCATACGTGCTATAATTCAAGACCTTTCAAAACCACCATCTAATACTTATTATACCCATCGGATTACTTCACAGGTAATCACTTGTGGATGTATTTACCAATATGAACCTGAAAATTGTTCCAGAACAAGTACAGATATTTCAAATACTGTGTCAAAGTTTGCAGAATCATGCATGTAACTAAAACCCATCTCTGGATTTTTTGCATCTGAGAACTGATACACCAAGGTCATAAACAGATCTCTTCCCCAGCTGAAGAAAGATTTCTATTTCCATACTGCAGGGTGTGCTCCAGAACTCTCTGACTACCTCAGCTCTACCTGATGAGATCTATGAAAGGTTAATTCAAACAGTGCAGCATGTTTCCAGTTTAGCACTGTGTCACTGAAAATTTAGTTCCACTTTTTCTTACATACAATCTTGTAAACACTAAAATATTTAGAAAACCTTGTCACCTCACTCTAGCGTATTTTATATTTTTGTATTCTATCAATCATTTTGTAACATCTAGCAATTGCTTTGTAAGAATAATGCACAAGGAGAAACTTTTCCACTGAAGTCAACAGCAATTAACAAAACAGTAGTATTTTCTTATTATTCCACACCAAATAGCATTTATGGTACCTAACAGTAGTCACACTCAGCGCAACTAACCCACAAGGATAGCAAAAAAAATATTTACAAGTGTTTTGCTCCAAAGTGGGGAAAGGAAATTAAAAAAAAAGAATTGAGCAGTATATTATAACTGTATACAAACTAGGATTATGGAAGCAGTGTCTATTGTTTCCTATATGGCTGTAATATAAATATTATAGCACTTCAAACTAATGTAGTATCTTTTTAGAAACTTCTCAGTTGTTCATTTTGAATACTTGTTACAAAAAGAAACCTTGCCAAAAAAAAGCCAAACCGAATCCTTTCAGCTCTCATATTTATAATAAAAAGGTGGGACTCAAGAGTCTTTGACAGATAACATGCAAGAACAACTTGCCACTATAGTCTGGTAATGAAGGCATTTACTGCAAAGGCTTTCTAGTACCTGTTCCCATGACTATGCACACAGTTAGCAGGGACTAGAACTCCCTTGCTTGAAGGAAGTGCTGTCATGACTCATTCTTGCTTGCCTTCTTTATGGTTTTTAAAATCTCACATTCATCATTTCATATAGTCCTACAAAGAGATGTAAAGTGCATTCATGAAGGCTAGACCACGGGCAATCGGGAAACTCAAATGGGAGTTGCAGGTCTGGAGTCCCTTAAAAAGAGCAGCCTAGAATACAAATCTTCCATTTTCAGGATGAAAGCTGTAGGTGCTGAAATACCATACAAAGGGCTTCGTGCTGAATTGAATGGTATTTTAGCACATTCTTATCACAGGTTTTGACTTCAAATAGCATTCAACACATTTCATTTCTGTATAGACAGAGGCACTGTAGTGCAAGCACCGTGGAAAACCTGTAGATGTTTAAGTAACTTAATGGATCCAAACCTAAGGACCTGTGAACTCTCAGATGCCCAGAGGACTAGCTACACTTTGAGGGATAACCCTCACCCTACGTTACACACAGGTTCTTTTGCCTGCCTGGATCTCAGTTTCTTTCCATTAACAAAAATTGGTGAAGCAAAGAAAATTCCGCTTTTTGTTTTTCATGTTTTCCCAAAAGATTAAACAGAAAACATCGGTTATGAAAACAAAACAAGGCAAAAAAGCCCCATATAATAGAAAATGCAATCTAGAATACCTGAGGATAGCTGAGCTAGATACCTGTAGGAGGCATCTGGCCAGGGAAGGGGTGAATCACTGGGGAAGCTGCTGCTGACTAGAGGACAGCTCCTGGGTGCCCGGGCTGTGGAGTTCTGCTGGGAGAGGCAGAGAAGAGCTCCGTAAGTGTGTGTCTGGGTGGCAGTCAGACAGTGAGAGCTGACAAGGAGCTCAAGGAGTAGCAGAAGATACTGAATTTGGGAATATTTGTTTCAATATATAGTTCAGGGCCCTAAAAATATTCATGAGGAGGTGTACTTGCCTCTGAGATGTCCTATCACATTCCTTTTTCAAAAAGTACATTAGTTCAAACCACTTTAAAAAAAAGTGTTGTGTGCACAGTTGGTGGTTGTTCTCACCAATTTTGAGGTGTGACCACAGTTAGCTCATCAACCAGGGCAGGAGGAAGATGGTGTGCCTGCTCCAGGGGACAAAAGGCACATGGAGAGAGAGTCCAGCAGATCTAGTATCCTTTGCTTCCCTTTCTATTCTCTGTCCCTGGTTATCTGTTTCTCCCACTTCAGACTGTTGGAGACAAGGATTCTTACAGACTCGCATCCTCACAGGACAGATAAGAGTGTAGAGGCCTCAAGGATATAGCATTCAATAAACAAGTGTGAAAAACAAGCAGGGCAATTGATTTAGACATACCGATACCTCATTATTTTCAGGCGTGTAAAATGTTTTTGTCCAAAATACTTCTACTTACTAGAAGCATGACCTTAACTACCAAATGGTTCCTACATTCTATCTTGGATTTTCACTTTCTTCTGAGCAACCGGCACTTTAACAGCCAAATGTACTGGGGGGGAAGGGGAATTATTCAACACACACTTAATAGACACATTATGTCATAACTGTATTACCCTAACCAAAGCAATGTCTCACTGCACTTATTATTTTATCTAGATAATGCAGTACATGGACCACATGCCTCCTAACACTGAAGAGAAAACCAGTAATATATATATCAGTTATATATATATATATATATGTCAGAGGGCCCCTGAAAGATGAAACCATGAGGCTTCTAGTTCACACAACTATGAGGTTCTGATGAATTTTAATTCATTAGCAATTCACTACAAAATTGCCACATAAGCAATGGAGGATTCCCAGATGTTCATATAATGCCAGTAGGCCATTTACCGTTGTTTTACACAATACTCTGTTACAGTTACCAGAGTGTTTGCAATCTCAATTCTGCAGTTATAATGGGCGAATATAGAGACATCATGTATACAGGCCATTGGGCACCACATCTAAATAGAAACTGCTGAGAAAGGCTGTGTAAAGTAGGACTATAAAATATAGCATAAGTTTCCATTTCAAGTCAAAATTACAGCTGGACACACAAATTAGTATTCTGAACATCGATAAATTACAGCTGTACAGCCAGACTCAAAAGTCTGAACATCTTTGTACTAACGGTTGAACTTGCACGTTAAAGTAGGCTTGTCAGATGGCAGTACAGCCCGTGATAAACAGTAAAAAACACCAAAGAACTGTATTTTCATAAAGCAAATAGTCACATCTAACACCTAGACACGTGACGTCATTGTATAATGCATAATGCCTCTCCACAACTTTTCTACCTTTTAGATGATTAAAAAAAAAAAAATCAGCTGTTAACACTGAAGCACTATTTAAATTATACTTTTGATAAGGCCTAATAGCCACCTCTCTTTCAGTGTACTTAAAATCTGAATACAATAAATTCATTCAGGGACATAACTACAGCTGCATGAGGTGTTAGCTTGGAGCTAAGGTTTATTACATTAAAGCCTTTCAGTGACAGTTAGTAATTTGGCTTATCATATTTCAGAAGCTATGAAATTTCCCCCCGTTAATCTGTTCAGTGTCTCCTATATCACAACATTGTTGTAAAATAATTACTTCAGCAAACATGAGATTTGTGTATGCAAGTTCAGTCCAGTATGAAAAGGCAAGGGGAGAAAAGCATACTTTGTTCAGACCTTATGACATAGCATAAGTTACGAAAATGACTAATACTAAGATTAGCATTTTAAGGACAGCATGAATCAAATGTTCAGTAATCCTGGTAATTTAGGGCTGACAAAAAATAAGCATCAGTTACCCCTGCTAGTCATTTTATGAACTCCTCCAGCAAAAATACTTGTATATGCTTAATTTAACACCAAATACCTACATGCTAATTTCTTCTTCATTGGATAAATGCATCACTAACATGGTGACATGCAACGAGCCAGAGTGAACCATGGCTTTGGAAAGCCTTTGATCCTTTTTTATTATTGCATCTTGGACAGCCTGAATACTGCCAGTGATCTGGGAAGAAAGACAGACACAGAAACAACAGTTAGCCATTACAATTACTGTATCCCATCATGCAAGTGAACAAGAAAGCACTGAAATCAAACGTTTATGTAAAAACCATTCTAGCAGAAGGAAGTTCTATCCTCTGACAAAGCTGTGTTAATTGACCCAAGCAAACCCAAAGTGGGTACGAATGAAGTGATTAATAAATCACTGGACACTCCCCATGACATCTTAATAGGACTTTGCTTCCATAAGTATGATAAAATCCTGGAGCAGATTAAGATCACCCCGTTATACACTGCCAATAATCCAAATAAAAGGCTTCTTCAAGGCCTTTCTCTGCCTGCTTTGCTAAATTTGCATGCCGCTATGTGCAGACAAGTGTCTGGAAAGAGATCTTTGCAGGATAGAGTACGTACAAAATGTAAATATTCAGTAAATAATTTGTTGAGATATCTGATTTACAATTCTGATTATACTGTCCAATAGACAGACACAATTTATATACTCTCTTCAAAAATATTTTAATGACTTTCCATACAAGATGTATACCGTTCTAACCTCATCGGTTTTTTCCTTTAAAAGTATTTGAACTACAGTTTCTTCAATGAAGATTATTTGTACAGTTATACACTCTTTATAAATTGTATCCAAAATGTTTACTGTGCTTGCAATTATGGTAAACTGCATTGTAGCAATTTACAGTGGAACTGTGTTGCCACAGAAGCAAGACCACCCTAGCTCTGAAGATCAGTGTCATTCAGCATCCAGATTAGCAGCCAATATCCCACATCCCCTCATCCATATAGTTTCCTTCAGCAGTACTTCCAAGTCCCTTCCTGCTTGTGTCCTAAACTACCTCCAGCTCCCTCATACAGTTCCATTCTGGCTTGGGCAAGAAGAAACACATGCTGTGGCTGTTTTGCAGCTATAAGGGGCTGACTGGCTGACAAGCACGCAGATACTCATTCATCAGCTGGCAGGTCTAGAAGAACAGGTAATTGCTACACTCACACTACAATACCCAGCACAAGCATGTTCTTTCAAGGTTCTTTCTTTTATGCAAGCACCAATTCCACAAAAATTGTAGGAAATTAGTAGCTCAGAGATGTCCAAATCTGAATTAAAAAAAATTGAGAACAGGTTGAACACCCACAGCAGGTTCAAAACCCACAAAACCCCAATGGGGTTATTACAACAAGACAAACAGATAGGCAGACTCACACCTGTATAAACTCCATTAGGAAACCAAGCTAAAAGCCTAATAAATAACATATCTCTGGAACAGGATTAATTCCAAAGATGGCCATTCAGCAGTTACAGACACAAGCGACTCTGAACCCACCAGGAAAGTATGAAATGAGCTGCCTTTTTGATAGAAAGAATACTGAGCACATTATCTCTCTCTGGCTAAAATCACAACATTCTACACAATCTAAGCTATTTGGAAAGAAAAAAGTTTTCAAGTAGATTTTTGTGAACTTCAAGAATTTCTTTTTAATATGTTTTCCCAGAACTCATGTGATCAGAATGTGTAACGCAACAGCTCTGGCATAGCCACACTGTCACAGTGCATAATTAACTTCAGATTCATTCTGTTTTCAATAAATCTAACGTGCAATTAACATTTGAGTGTGCTGAACTTTAATTAAGCAAACCATGACTCTTCCTATATCTCTTTATAACTAATTATGACCCACTGCACAAACAAAAACTTCAAAATTGCTATTTAACCTGCTATTTACATTAACTTACCAAGTTTTATGTTTGTTACATTTCAGCTGCTGTCATGCTGACTGTTTAACTTGAGATTTCCTGACTTAACTGTAAGAAGTGTCTGAAGGCAGACCATACACAACAATTCTCTCTCAGATCATTTTAAAAAGTGCTCAAAATAACGCCTCAAATACCAATTTCAAGGTCCCCTCTCCCATTACCTGGAATATGTTATTCTGAAGCGTTAGAAAATAACTCAGTTTTGTGTATTGCAAGAATGCTACTAATAAGTGAATATAAAGACGGTAAGCTCTGAAGATTTAACAGATTTAACACAATTTTATTTAATTATAATCAGGACTGAAGGACCCTGAAAGGCTAACCTACCAAGTGGTAACACACCAGATGAAACAACCTAAGCAAAAATTACCAGGAAAGGATACAATTATAATCATCCATTGAACTACTTGTGCACAAGGAATAGTGCAAAGTTCAATATAAATTCAAAATTAATGGAACACTAGAGTTTTATTTCTTATCATTCAAAACATCATTAAAACGAAAACAAGGAAACACTAATTTCCAAGAGGAATGGTTCATTAAATGTTCCTGAACTATCCTTTATTACAAAATGGTTCTCTGTGTAAAGCATAAATACTACATAAAATATGAAAAGAGAGTATTAATGCCTAAAACACTTCACTGAAATAAAATCAGATCTTCGAAAAAAGAAAGGTTTCTCATTACTAACTGAAATACTACCAGTAATTACCAGATTTCCTCTGGCTATCAAGAAATCAGATGTCTTAAATCTAAATTTTGGCTAATGTTGCCTATACAGATTCCAACACGTATTTTCTACTTTCAGAACGACTCTGCATCTAAGGCAAGTATAAACAAAACTTTCTAGCCAAGTCCTGGAATTCCCAAATATTCTCAGATTAGTATAGTTGTTCCTCTACCTATGTAAATGGCATGTCAAAAAGCGTGCACAGTTAAGACTTTTCCATTCAACCAGCCATTCAACAATCACGAGCAAGAATTCTCGGTTGTCATATTACATAACCCCTACACTATTCTTGCATTTAAGTCATGAAACAGACAAGAAGAAAAGATATTTCAGAGTAAGATGGCATGAGAGATCTCACACAATATTCATGTCAGACTATCCGGGATCTTATAAAACCAGCCTCTACAACCTCTTCTTCACATAGTGTGAAGAAACAAAGACTGCGCTGAAATTTTCAAACCTACTTTGGTTTATCTTTATCTTCATTTTGGATTATCTTAATTTTTTACTTTCCAAGAGAACAGATAGTGTAGATGTAGGATGACTTAAAATTCACCAGCCATTGCTCCTGGTATTAAAAATAAACCTAAATTTGGAAATGGTGTTTCAATTTCCATTTTGGGAACCCAACCCATGTTGGGTTAAACTTTTCAAACATAATGCACCTATTTTCCTTGTTGCAGACACAAAAGGTATCAAAAGTCATACCAGAGACATGCCACAGAATGTAAGAAATCATTCTCATTCACTGTCTAAATGAGACAACACGTTGACTACAAGAAAATGCACTTTCTTAAACAGCTCTCTGCACTCCTTGAATCTATTTGAACAACATCTCACTAAAACAAGAGGTTGCTTGAATTTTAAATAAGAAGATTAATTTTACTGCAAAATGTTAAACTACAAACTGCCTAGTTAAAACAACAACAGATCCAAATTTAAACTCCTATCTATAAGGAGAGCTAAAAATATTGTTAGGGATTTTCTTATTAAGTCACTACAAGGGCCTGTAGTGACAGAACAAGGGGTAACAAGTTTAAATTGAAAGTGGGGAGGTTTAGATTGGATATCAGGAAGAAGTTCTTCACAGAGAGGGTGGTGAGGCACTGGAACAGGTTGCCCAGAGAAGCTGTGGATGCCCCACCCCTGGATGTCTTCAAGGCCAGGCTGGATGAGGCTTTGAGCAACCTGGTCTAGTGGAAGGTGTCCCTGCCCATGGCAGGGGGGTTGGAGCTAGATGGTCTTTAAGGTCCCTTCCAACCCAAACTATTCTATGATTCTAAATTAAATAGGAATGTCTCTCTTCCTTATTCTAAGTGAATGACAAAATAAGCAATACTGGAACAGTGCAGAGGAGAAATTTAAGCCAGCTTCAGTGAAAATAATGTAAGATCCATAAGACTGACAAACTGAATAACAAGATAAATAATTTTCCTCTAGTCTTTTCCAGATAAGCAACTCTATTCACAAAAATGTTACATAAAGTTATTCTTTGAATAGGCTGCTAATGTTCCCTTAAAAATACCTGAAAAAATGATTTTGCTCAAGATCAAACACTGTTGTTCTTATAAACATATACAGGTGAAGTAATTCTGGTGATACTGATTAATATAAAAAAGAATACCACCTCTAGATTAGTAATTGGAAGAGAAATGAAGTAATTCGGCTGATACACTTTTTTCTTCTTTTCCTCATTGCCTTCAATTTCCCTTCCAGTAGTCCTCTTCCTCTTCTTTTTTATATTTATTTCAGAGGTTGCATTTACTGAAAAAAAAATTGACTTTCAGCATACAGACAAATCAAATCAAAGATACACTCAATATCATGCCAACAGGAGCTAGACTTGAGTCAACTGACTAGAGCACATCTTCCCAGGCATCCGATCTGCCCATGCTCTGAACTGTCTGACTGGGATCCTCCAGCCTGAATTACTATAGGTACACCAGTGGAGTACCAGAACTAACAGCCTACACCTCTAAGCAGGGTTTACAAGCTCCTAAGGCAGAGACACAGCTTCCAAACTACTGTGTTTCATTTAGCCAACCCACACTGTAGTGTAATAGGCCTGCAAATTGTCTACACTTGTCCACACTTCTAGCCCCATGCTGGGAATACACATATTGGAAGACAGCCCTTGAGAGGCTTGCATAAGAGCAATGTGCATTGACATACGAGATGGATCACAAATTCTGTGACTCACTGCTAGAATGGATCACAAAACGGTACATTTTGAATATGCTCAGGTATTTGCAGGACTGTACATGCCAACATGCAAGACCAAGAACTGAGTAGGTGATGTGTCTATGCTTCCACACTAATTCTGTTCAATATACTTACCAATAAATTCATCTTCAATATCTGTGTTGACAAATGGCATTTCAGCCATCAGAGAGCCTACTGAATCCACAGGACATGGCTTTTCTATCTGCTGTGTCTTTTCTTTATTCTCTTTAAGGATTTTGTTTTGCTGTACATTTTCCAGCCCATCTGTAATATATTTAAAATAACACATTGGGTTCTTAGTTTTTGATATAACAGCTAAGAGACATTATACTCAAGCAATATACTAAGGATACATTTCTCTAATTATCAGCAAATAAATATTGACATAGCATTCCCTTAAGAATGCTACTCTTCTTCCCTGTCAATATATCAGCAAAAATACTTCAGTTTTTTATGTGGAACAGCAAAAAAAAAAAAAAAAAGGCAGTTTAGCTTCTATATTTAATAATAATTTACAGTCTTGTTCTGTTCTATGTAAATGCAATTACCTGCAAAAAAAAAAGGATACTTATAACCAAGAATAAAAAAATAACGTCTTCAGACATCATGTAAAGTTTCCTTTAGAAAACAGTAATGGCATATGAAATTCAGTGCAGACAAACACTGACAAATTAATTCCAGTGTAAACACACTGAAAACGAGGCACAAAGGAGCAGGAAGGGAATCCTACCCTTCCACATATAACAGAGTTCTCAGCTGACTATACCATTCAGGAATTAGATGATTATTCTATTCCTGCATCTCCCACACAGTGTAACACGTTACAGAAAGTAATGATCTGAACTTATGGTTCTAAAAACTGACTTTTAGTATTTAAGCTAACGAAGGAATCAATACACATCAAAACTCCTCTTGCAAGTATGAAGACATACATGAAGTTCTATCTTGGTGTAATGCCACAATGACAGAATAATCCCTACTAACAAGTTTTTTTTTTAAAATATCTTACTTCCCAGAGTACTAACTAAGCGTGAGTCATTTCCTTATGTCTGCTCCACATTTCTGCATCAGTAGACTCCAATATTTGTGTATTGAATTATACCTTAAAAGTGAAAAAGTAAAATAATCTCTAGCAGCAAAAAAATGCGTGCATAACCAGGCATCCAGCAACACTGTTTTGGGACAACTCCACAATGGGATTACTGTAGTGGAAGAAGCCTTATGTCAGAATTGCAGTTTATCCCAGGACAGCTCATTACTACAGACAACGCACTTTCAAAGCTCCTCTTGTGACCAGTGCAGATAGTCCAAATGTGGCCCAAGGGGAAAATCTGGCAGCAAAAGTGCATGCTATGTTCTTGTGGCACAGAAATCTACACTGCATATACAAAGTTACTATTACAGACCCAATCTGGGTTATTAACATCCTGTGGAGTGTTTCTTGCGTGTATCACTTTATGCTAAGGAAGGCAAGTAAAACAACAACCTGATTAAATGCTAATTCACTCCAGTCTAAAGTAGGGAGGCATAAATCACTCTGTGGTTGTGGATTGACACCTAACTTTATCCCGGAGGCTGTCAAAAAGAAACAAAGTATTTAATTTGTTGCTTGTTCCCCCTGTAGATACTAAAGAACTATGCACAGCAAACATGTTAAAGCGATAATAAAATTATCACTTAACATTTAGATTAATGTAAAGCTCACACAAACATTGTTGCTGGTGACCCACAAGTACACGAAAAGCAATGGTCCTGCCTTCAAAGAGATCGCAAAGTGAAGGACAAGACAGAAATCCATGAAACTGACAAACAAGTAGGTCGCTCTGGGGCAGAAAAGTTATCAACAAGATTCAGAAATGCAGAATCATAACCAGCTGGGCACGAAAGGGTTTGTTAAGGTAGCATCAGCTGCAGAACAAGGGCTCACATCAATCTGAGGGGTGTATATTGCAGATCATGCATTTCCTTTCCTCTGCCTGCTCAAAGAGCAACATACTTGCACCACTTTGAAAAATTATGCCTGCTCACAATAGCAGATGGGCATAGCAAAGGCACAGCGAGTGACTAACAATGTCTCTTCTCAAACCAATTAGCTGAATTGAACAGGCACTGCTTCTAAATTCCACAGGTTGTGCCTCAAGCAAAAATCCCTCACCTTTTCTGAAATATTTATTACAGAAATCAGCAATGAAATTGAAGAATTGTGTTCTAGTCACTAGAACAACACGAAAACAATATTTTTTTCAAAATTCTTGGCATAATATTGATAATCTGAGAACTAAGTAACAAAACCAGCTTCCACGGGAACTCGACCATCAAGCCGTTACAGGATAAACTTTTATCTTAATTGCATACTGAATCATATTAGTTCATATATGAACAGGTATTTACATTATTACCATATTTGTATTTAAGTGGCTGCTCATCTTCTCTAGTATTTAAGTAATCTGTTTCAGCAGAAAAAAAAAAATATGGTAAGTCTAGCTCATAAAGGGAAGATATGTAATGTAAATACAAGGGGCAATAAAACAGATTTCATTGCACTCCTTTTCCAGCCCTCTTCTCTCCACACTCAGATCATAGTTACAGAGAAAATAATCTTTTAATTTATTTGACACCTACACATCAGAGATCACAGTGAGATTAGGTCTCCAGGCATTGTTCCCTGTTTAATATGTTTATGTTCATATGTTTAATAAAAAACGAATCCTTTGGAGACCATTTAACTGAAAGCTGCTGTAGAAATAAATGGACTTACTCTCCAGTGATTTTGAACTCCCAGTGCCGGTACTGGTGTTTACGTTGTCAGACCCCTGAAAAAGCTTAAAACCAACCCAAACTAACAAACTTTGGTGGAAGAAAAGGTAGGTTTAGTATCGAGCCAGGCCAGATGCCTACACTCGCTGCAAGCCTGGGGACAGAGCAGGGCAGGCAGGGAAAATCAAACCGGAAGACTTCGCAGCAACGGCTCAGTATTACGTTGAATCATTTCACCCCCGCGGAAACCCACCTCCTTCCATTCGATATCTCAGTACGTGTGCACAACCCCTAGTTTGTACAGCCGCGACCGTTTAGCGGCTAC